TACCTTGTTCAGCACTGTTTCTTAGTCAGTTTATTAATATTCTGGCTTGGTAAAAATTTTTAGGTACGTTCTTCCATGGGAGCTTCCTTCTGCACCTTGTACTCTTCGCATCAAGTTTTGTCCTCTGGAGGATGAGGAGGGAGCTACCACACACCTCCTCTCCTCTTTTTTTGTATCATCTGTCATCTGCCTTTTCCTAGTTCAGAGTTTAGCCATCTCTCCCTCTTAGCTCTCAGCCTCACACTGGGTTCTGTCACCAGAGCTTCTGGACATCTGACTTGTTTTCTTCATCACATTTGGCTTGCAAGCAGGATTTATTGAAAATATTCTAACACTGCTCTCTATTTTCACAGGATTTCTGTTCATTTAATTTTCAGAATTACTTACCTGATATCTTCTTGACCATCTACGTGGTGTCAAGCTGTTTGAATAACCCAAAATACAACTATGACATACACTTCCAGAAGAATAGAGAGAATTTCGACCTTCCTTGTTAACACTTACCAGCACCTCTCACTTCCATCTCTTTAAAGAATACTTATTGCAAAGGACAATCAGTTTATATCTGTAGGATTCCATCTGACCATAAGGAACCACCCTTGTGGATTTTGTTGCTTCCAAGGTCAATGGGAGGTGTGAAGATAAAACAGAGAAGCAGCTGTTTAAGTGAGTTATAGGGTGTGAGAGCAGACAGTCAACCAGCAAAGGTTATAAATATGAATTTATCTTCTTCGAATGACATTTGAGCATACTTTTTGTTTGTTTTCTTAGCTTTGTCTTTTTCACTTAAATAGTGGTTCCATTCTTTCCATTGTTAGTATAAGGATAGAAAGTTAGGCCTGGCATTGAAAAGCAGATTAAAACATAATGTAGGATCAAACACTGTGAAGCAGTAATTGAAAAATACATAAGCTAAGTAAAAGAAAATAAGTAAACAAAGTACCACATATCAGAGTCCAAAGTCAGTCCCTGGGAACTTTTTGTGCCTGACAGCCACTAGCAGTCACAAGGCTGCATTGGTGACTCCAAACAGTTACTTATGTATTCAGGTCACACTTTGTCCTCTTCTTCAGTTACAGCTTCAAACAGATATGGTATCCTTCTCCAAGAATATCTTGACAAAAGACAGGGTAAAAACTTGTCAGAAGGGGTGGTTATACACTCTCCATATTTATATTACCAGTTTGAGGAGAAGAGGAAAAAAAGAATCACTGAATGTGAAAATTGAAAATAAGTGTGTGTGTGTGTGTGCAGTTATGCCCAATTGCTCAGGAAAGGGGGAAATAGTAACTCTTTCAAGCTGCTGTGCTTTGTTTGCCAGAAATTAATCTATTTGGAGGGCCAAGAGGAGGGACAGAACAATATTTCTGCAACTTATGTCCACATTGTCCTCACCTCAGGGAAAACACAGGTGGTGAAAGTCCTGGCAGTTCCTAACCCCTTCTTGGACAATCAGCCTTATAGAGCTACTCATTAGGAAGCTGACTTAGGGTCAGTAGGGAAATGACACCAGGTGATGCAGAAGGGCAGGAAAGGTATCCATAAAGATCTATTTCACTATATTTAATTAAATTGTATGTAAAAGTCTTACTTCTTAACAATTCTATGCAAAATTATATAAAAATAATTCTATCACTAGCCTGTAATATACTGAGTTTCTTTTCTGCCTTTCTGTTTCTTTTTAGTGATGTACTGGAGAACTTGGAGGCCTTTCATTTTACTGTGCATATTTTGTTTTAAACTCCAAAACCCATACAGAAATGCAGTCTATTACTTAATAGACTTAATATTACTTAATAAGTTCAATATTATTTTGTCATGTGTGCTTTTCTAACAGAGAAGTTTTGAAATTTAAAGCAGAAATCAAGTCCTTTTTTGTTTGGCTGGGGTTTTTTTGTTTTCCTCTTTATTTTAGGATAGGGATGTCATAGTGAAAGATGGATTTCTATGAGACATCTCTCGCAGTGGTGATTTATTATTTAACTTTAGTTGGTCCCAGTCTGTCTTCTTCCTGGCCAGTGTAAGGTATTCTTAAAGGATGACGATGCTGACTGTCTTGGTAGAAGGCTTTGGGATGCACAAACCTTTGGAACACTGTGCACAAACCAGTGTTATGGTCTCAGAGTCACTGGACCTGTCCTCACTTTGCAGAAAACACCATTCCCCAGCATTAATTAGAGATAGAGCCCAAGGACTGAACGTGCAGGTTGGCTCCCATGATATTGCAGGTCACTGGCGAGGTCAGTTGCTGGGCATGTTCTGGGAAGATTTCTAGACCACTGTATGGACACAGAGCTCCAGTTTCCAGGCTGCAGACAAAGCTGCCCAGAGGGTAAGATGGGTGGAAGTAGGTGGTTTTTCTTGGAGCTGAGAAGTCTCTCACAGAGTGCTGAGGCTCCTCTTGCAACAGACACCAACTCTTGTTTGCCATGAACAAGCTAAGAGCCCTGCTGAACAGAAAAGGCACTTTGCTACAGGGAGAATAGTTGGTCAAAACAGAAGAAAGGAGCACTGTAGTTAAGGACTCCAGGAGTAAATCTTTAAAGTAAACAGAAGAACTTTCAAAACACCTACAGTATCCTCTTTTCATCAGTGAAAAATATGCAGCAGCTTTGCAAAGGACTAGCTTTCACCAGCTCAAGGTAATCAGAAAGCTGCTATTTTTCCAGCTTCCCATGAGCTTCCCAGAACAATCCATCACAGAGAAGAGGATATTTTATTTCTTTTTCATAAAATATAAAAGAGGGCTGATGACTTATGCTGAAATGAATTGTTAAGAGACTTATTTACTTAATTGAGCTTGCTTGTTTGGTATGTCTCCCAATTAATTCATTTTTGTTGTGACCATATTGAAGCAACCTACACCCTTGCGACCTTCTCTTATAATTATTACTATTTTCCTCTTTTGAAGCACTGTTTTGATTATGTACTCAAAAATCTCCACTAAAATATCTGTAGCATTAGCACAGAGATTTTTCCATTGTTTGGAACTCAAGGATAGTAACAAAAAGAATCGTTCTTTATTGAAGTTCTTGGAGGTTATGGGTCACTTAAAGCCCTCAGGGGATGGGGGGTGTCTTTCTTTTTAATTTCACAAAATCACTATTTTGAATAGGCAGAGCTTGTTTTCTAGCTAGAAATTCTTTTAAGAAAAATATGTTGTTGGTTGGTAACACTCAGAGGTGCCTCACAATTCCTCTGGTGTGAATATTGTACATATTTCAGGGTCACAGGAGAATGTAACAGCAGCAGAAAAGGGGCTGGCAAGTATGACCATCCTGAAAGTTGCTGAGATTGCTATGTGGACTCTCTGCCCCAAATGAGGCATTGTTTTTATTATTGCTTAAATTAAATACAGTATTTGACAGCTCTTTGCCTAAACCACAGTGGAGTCATCTGGACAGCTCTCTGTGAAGGAGAGGCTCTTTCAGTCATGGCAGTCACATTTGCAGTGGTGGGAGACTGTAAATGAGGGTTTGCTGATACAAGGGAGATGTTTATCCCTCAGTGATTCATTGGATGAAGATTTTGCTGGTTTGTGCCAGCCTCCACAACAAGTAAATTACGCTCAATAAGATGTTTTTGGACTCCTGACCCCAGCTCCTTTCCCTCACCCAGTTTAAATGAAAATCCCAGACAAGTGGTTTTCCTCCATCATGGCCTGTGCACGTGCACTGATGGAGATAGTTCTGGGCAGTGATCCCACAGGTGGTGTCAGTTTGGAGGAGGGTGCTCTGCATGTGGCAACTTTCATTCCAGTGGAACTGGAAGGTCTTTTACCAGAAGTAGGTTTTACAACAAGCCCCCTCGCCACTGGCTGCTGTGTTTGGAAAGCTGCAGAGTACCCCTGTGGTTTTGTGCACCTCCTACAACAGCAGTCCCTTCTCCTCAGGCAACAGGACTCTTGCACAGAGTATTTTTTTGCTCAAGACTTGCTGATACTGTTTCTCTGACTGATTTAAGTAGTTCCACTGCTTTCCCCAGTCTCTGTCTGCTCTCTGCTCTCTTCTGTCCAAATGGAAACTGGCCATGCTTTCAACTTCTTGAAGCACTGTGTACCTTTTTTCCTTTTCCTCATTCTCAGTCCTTTTCTCTCTACTTCCTTACAGAGTGCCTTCATATCTGTGCTTTATGCTCTGTGGAGTTTCTTTTTTTTTGTATTGCAGACTCTCTCTGTTCCTGAAACAATTAAAATCACTTCTTTAAAGATAATGGCTCGCTCTGAGTTCCAGTTTTTCAGTAGATGGCCCTCTAAGCTGCTGGGGATTTTGATGCCTGAGGACAGCAGGTGCTGGGTAGAGCTTGCCTAGGATGCCAGCCACACACTGATGTGCTGTCTTCTTTTTTTAATGTTTTTCTGAGCAGTCTTCTGGTCTTCAGTGACAGACTGCTCATGTACATGTCGATGTGACACTTAAGGACCTGGCAGTGTTAGGCTAATGGTTGGACTCAATGATCTTGGAGGTCTTTTCCAACCTAAATGATTCTATAATTCTGTGGAGCAAAAATTGCTGCATCAGTAGAAAAGAAACAGTCTGGAAATCTTCCTTCAGCCATGACTAATAATCCAGTGTAAAAAAATCTCAGACCAAGCCTTCTTCATGCACCAGGCAAAGGTGGGTGACTGGAAAAGACAAAGCAGTGGTCTTTCCACAAAAGCATAATTACAGTTTAATAATTAGAGTTTAATAATTAGAGTTTAACCTTGCTCACTCTTGACTTTCTCTCTTTACGTAATCTGGTTCAACTCTTTGACTATGCCTGTGTCCAGAGCACTTTGGCTAAGCATTCTGCTTTAGAGTATGTATGAAAGGTGCTGTATGAAAGATTCATTTCCTTTCCATCATTGGGAGTTTCCTTTTTACATGAACCCATGTGCCAGATCACACAGCATGCAGCCAAAGAGTTGCATTTTACGTGACACCTACAGGGCTCTACTGAATGAAAGCTGCAGGTCTTCAGCGTTCTTAAGACAGAACTTTGTGTGTTTTTTGGCACAGAAACGGAAAAGCTGGGGCTGGAGGTGGGGAATGGATTGCCGTCTTGGAAATTTAACGACCAGCTCTTTCCCTGCGACGTGTGTGGAAAAGTGTTTGGTCGACAGCAGACTCTGTCCCGGCATCTCTCACTGCACACAGGTGAGCCAACGCTTTTTGGTTGTTCCAGCACTGAGGAATTCTGTGTGTTCATCACTGTTTGTTTAAGGGGAAGAGAAAGAAGGTAAGGCTCCTCACACTTACAGCAGAATCAAGAGCAGTACCAGGACAGAATGTCAGAGTGGTATTTAGGGAGTTAAATGACATTCTATTTCTTTGCAGTCTGTAATTTATCCTTTCAAAATGTGTAAATTTGAGTTTGTTCAGGTTCCAGTACACCAGACTGTAGATACCAACTGGTTAACCAAGCCTGGAGTTTTGAAGAGAAGGCACAGCCTTTTATGGGGACAGGTTTGGGGTTTTTTTGGACAGGCACATCATTCACCTGATGAGCTTTTTAAATGTCACTGAACAAAAGATTTGGCCATGGTGTTTCAGACCTGTGAAACTGAAAGGATTTAATGTCTCATTCATCTTTGCTCCCATCCTACAGTCCTCAGAGGAACAGGGGCTGGTTCTGCCCCATATCAACTTTCTTAAAGTGAATCAGCTTCAAATCAACTGAGACAAACAGAGCTTATATACAGAAGATGCACTCTGACAGCCTGATGAGGTGCACAGCACAGAATAAGACTTGAAAGCGAGAATTTCCTATGTACTGCTGAAAAATACTGTTGGTATAATGCCAGTGTATGTTGTGCCATCTAGTACAGCCGTGCTGAGAAGGTTCAGATGCTCTGTTCTGTGACCTCTTGGGGTTTCCTTGGTCCTAAGCTGCTCTACTGAATGCCTCTCCCCTAGCACTTGTAGCAGTATTTTTCAAATTTAGAGCAGCAGATTCTCAGAGGAAAAGGCTGTAAAAGGTGATGTAATGTTTGGTTATTTTAATCAATTCTCCGCAAAATACAGCCTGGCACACATACAAAAACTGTGCTGCCAGGTCTTAGAAATGTTTAATGTAAAATAAAAAAAAAATAATTAAATTGTGAAGCATCAGAAACTCATGATGAATTTAATTTTTTTAACTGTTCTTTAAGTGAGGTTTTTTCATTAGTTTATGCTTGGAACTGGACTAATGATACAGTGTTACCTTTCCTCCCCTTTAAAGTTAAATTAAAGGATCCTTTTCATTGCCTCTCAGTATCACCTTAGATTTTAATACAAAATCATGAACTGTCAGTGATCACTGCAAGTGATCACATGGGCAACCTCAACAATTATTAAGCCCAAAAATCCTATAAAGATGCTAGGTAAAGCAAGTAGTTTGAGACTATTGACCTGTTTCTCCACTGGCTTTGCTGCAGCTCTCAGAGCAGCAGTTGCCCCAGTTTTCCAGTTTATAAAGTTTTATATTATCTGACTACAAATGGTAGAGCAAATTAAAAAAACTAGCCCCAAACTGCCTTCAAATTAGTTTTTTTCTGAGTAATTGCTGTGAACTCCTTTTAAAATGTCGAGCTTCCAAAGTACCTCATCCCGAAAGCTGCTCGGAGAAACCCAAAGGAATGCGTGCTCGGTTACTGGCAGCTTTAAAAGCAGCTGGCTCCAAAACGAGGTGCACATTTAGGGGTTTCTCTCTTCTTTTTCAGAAGAGAGAAAATACAAATGCCACTTGTGCCCCTATGCTGCTAAGTGCCGTGCTAACCTGAACCAGCACCTGACTGTGCACTCCGTGAAGCTGGTGAGCACAGACACCGAGGACATCGTCAGCGCTGTCACGTCCGAAGGCAGCGACGGGAAGAAGCACCCTTATTACTACAGGTGAGGACCCAGGCAAGGGCTGGGCACCAGACACTCTTATCTGCCTGCTCAGGGCACGTTACAGGGCCACCCTTCTGGTGTTGCAGGGTAGAACAGTGATGGAAGTATTTGTCTTGCCCTCACCCGGCTTAGGCTGAGCAGCAAAAACCTCGCTGGCTGCCTTGTGCTGTTTGACTTGGCTGGCCATTGGGAAGGACTCTGGGGTTTGGCGTGGGGTTGGTTTTTTCAAGTGGCTTTGTGAGGCAGCTGGGCTCTTCAAAGTGTCTTTAACTCTTTATGCAGTGTTCAGTTAAGTTTTGTGTTTGGAAACACCCTGTTGTGTACACAGATTCACGGATTCTGAGCCAGCAGTGTGCCCAGGTGGCCAAGAAGGCCAATGGCATCCTGGCCTGTTTCAGGAATAGTGTGGCCAGCAGGACCAAGGAAGTGATTCTTCCCCTGTAGTCAGTGCTGCTGAGGCCACACCTCAAGTACTGTGCTCAGTTCTGGGCCCCTCAGTTCAGGAAGGATATTGAGGTGCTGGAGCAGGTCCAGGGAAGAGCAACGAGGCTGGTGAAGGGACTGGAGCACAAGTCCTATGAGGAGAGGCTGAGGGAGCTGGGGTTGTT